GAAAGACTCTAACAGACAGTCGCAAGGAAAATTGGAGCCCTCTCCTCCCAGGGTCTATGAACATGGGAGGCTCGTCACATGATGCCTAGGAGTGCAAGCAGCTGTTTCTCTGTTAGACCCTTGCCTCTCCGTCCTCGCTGTCTTATTCCCCAGGAGAGAGGAAGAACTGCAAGGCAGAGAGAGCCCCGAGAGCAAAAGACCGCATCGTCTTCATTCTCAAAAACATGGTTCAGTTCCCGCCTTGGACATCGATGGCAACTGCATGGAGGGAATGGAGGGAAGGATGGGGCTTGGTTTAAATGACTTTACAAGGGGGGTGGAGAATGATCCGGAGACTCAAACTGAATCTTGGAACCGAGCTGCTCGCTGCAGGGATGGCTCCTGGCCAGGCGGCCGGGCTGATCTCATGGTGGGGGGAGGGGCGTGGAGTAACCTCAGATGGGAGCAGGCGTCCTCTTTCTCCACCTGCACAGATGAACCCTGGTGACCCCAAACTTCCAGAAACCAATCACCGCCACCCTCTCAGCCGATCTTTTTTTTTTTTTTTTTTTGCTTTTTGGTAGAATCACTGTGAGATAGACCCTTACAGACATCTTACACTATTCATTCCAAGCAATACAAAATAAATTATCTAGCATCGGCCTATGGGGCAGGCTTGAATGGTGGTGAGAAACTTCAAAATAACGATGGTAGGAAAGTGTAATAAGGGTGGTGGGATTGGTGTTGAAATATTGAACGTAATCAATTATTGCGAACAACTTTATGGAAATGAAATTTTAAAAAAATAAACAAACGCAATAAAATGACTTTAAAAGTGGAGGAGGAGAGGAGAGTGTCCTGCAGGGCAGACGGGGCAATGATGCTCGTCTCTTGCTCCTCGTTTTGCTGGAGCTGCACCAGCAGGTGGGAACAGTGCAACCCCTCCAATCCCATTCAGAACTCCTGGGTGCCTCTGCCCCCTGCAGCCGGCCGAATGGGTGATTTCAGCTGACTCACCCATGAGGTACCGGGCTCTGTCACTTTAACACAGGGAGACTGAGCATACTCGAGACCCTCATTTCCTAATAGCATCTCCCCCGGAGCACGGCAGACTACTACGGCAGACTACTACATCGAAGTATGTGGCCAAGAGCCCAAGATAGCGTGAGTCACTTAGGATTCCCCAGGGCTCTGCTCCCAGCTAATCAGCAAAGAGACCCAACAAGGTGGGGGTTGGCGCCAAGGCAGGAGCCCAGACCATGCCTGGAGCTGTGCCCTGGTATCTGGGCTCCCCTGAGTGCAGCTCCCCCGCACCCACTCTCTAAGCCAGCACCCACCCCCCAGCAACCCCCACAAGTCTCTCCATTCTATGGATCTGAGAGCTACTTCAAGGGGGGGAGGGATCTAGAGATAGCACAGGGGTTAAGGCGCTTGCCTTGCATGCAGCCAATCCTAGTTCAAGCTCTGGCACTAAATATCATCCCCCTGAACACCACCAGGGGTCACTACTGAGCAGAGTCAGGATGTGAGGCCCAAAAAAGCAGGGTCCTCAGCAGCCATGACAAGCTACAGCTAACATTAAGTCTCAGCTAGGTCTCAGTTTCTGTTTCCCCAAAGCAGGACGTGCAGTTTCTGGTACAGTCCCAGTTGAGGAATTTACCAAGATAAGGAATTGGGCAGTTCAGTCTGACCAGTCACGAAGGGTCACTGAACCCTCCGTAGAAACTGTTACTAAGCATTGCCTAATAGCTGACCACCATTGTAATAGGGCCAATGCCAAAAATAGGCCAGTATGTAGACTGTTCCTAACTCTGAACCCTATATAAACCGCTTGTGATTTGGAGTCGGGGTCCTTGTCAAGACTCCACTGTGTTGGATGAGACTCGGACCCTAGCTCAGGCTAGCACTGGCTCAGGCTGTAATAAAGTTCCTTTGCTTTTGCACTATCGTGAGTGGACTGACTTGGTCTCTCCGCAATTGGGGATCTGAAACTCAGGCACAACAAGGAATAGCCCCCTGAACCACTAGGAGTGACCCCCAAGTCCACCCTCCCCTCCCCACAGCACTGCAAAATAAAATGAATTGCTTCCTTCACTCAGCATAATCAGAATGGCTTTGCAACAGATCAAAGGCACCATGAGAGGGTGACTATTTTTAAATCTATTTCCTGGGGCCAGAGAGATAATACAGGGCTTATGGCACTTGCTTTGCACACAGCAGACCCAGGCTTTGATTCCAGCACATAGGATGCCCTGAGGGTGGCTGGGTGTGGCCCTTAAATAAAAATCAATACATAAATAAGTGTATAGATACAAATTTATATACATGCGTGCAGACATATGTGTCTGTGTATTTTTTTTTAGACAGATGTATATGCATACACATTTTGCACTTTGATTTTTTTTTTTTGGCATGAGAATTTATTAAACCTGGGTCCTTCTTGGGATTGGAGTGATGGATCCTTCTTGAGATTGGAGCGATAGTACAGCAGGTAGGGTGTTTGCTCTGCACACAGCGAACCCGGGTTCGATTTCCAGCATCCCATATGTTTCCCCCCCAAGCACCGCCAGGAGTAATTCCTGACTGCATGAGCCAGGAGTAACCCCTGTGCATCACTGGGTGTGACTCAAAAAGAAAAAAAAAAAACCTGGGTTCTTCTTTCTCTCGGGGGGGTTCTTTCTCAATGCAGAACATCTACTGCCTTTCATTTCCGGAAAGAAGAACTGTGCACTGATTGGTGAAGTTAATCTTTGGGTAGTGGCAGAAAAAGGGTACCTTACTCCTATGTTACTTATTCTAGCAGAGCATGAAGGGTAAGCTAATGGCATCCCGCAATAGCCACACAGTTACAGATGCTATTTTCATTCATTTGCCCTGTGCAGTTCCTCCTCAGAAGAGTTGTTTTTTTAAAAAAAAATTGTATTGAATTAGAAAAAAATGAAGTCATGAAATCTGCTTGTAAGTACATGGACATGGAGAGTATCATGCTAGGTGAAATGAGTCAAAAGGAGAGGGACAGATATAGGATGACTGCACTCATTGTGGAATATAAAGTAACATAGAACGAAACTAACACCCAAGGACAGTAGAGACAAGGGCCAGGAGGATTGCTCCATGCTTGAAAGTCTGCCTCAAGGGTTCAGGGAGAGGGCAGCTGGGAAAGAGAAGGGACCACTAAGTCAATGATGGAGAAATCATTCAGGATGGGAAATGTGTGCTGAAAGTAGACTAAGGACCAAACATGATGGCCTCACAGTATCTGTATTACAAACCACAATGCCCAAAAAGGAGAGAGAGAGAGAAGAAGGGAAGTGCCTGCCATAGAGGCAGGGGTTGGGGGGTGGGAAATGTACACTGGTGGAGGGATGGGTGTTCGAACATTGTATGACTGAAACTCAATCATGAAAGCTTTGCAACTATCTCACAGTGAATCTGTAAAGAAACTAAACAAATGATTTTTGATTGAGATTCTGTAGTTTGCTGGTGGAAGGATGGGTATTCGATCATTGTATAACTGAAACCCAAGCACAAAAATTTCTAAGTCTACAACTGTACCTCATGGTGTTTCACTAATTAAAATTTAAGGGGGAAAATGTATCATGAGAAGTTAAAAAAAAAAGAGATTCTGTGGTTTTCAATGCTAATAAAGGTTTCTCATGCACATAATTCCAATACCACACTCATTACCAGTGCACCCACCCTCCCCCCAAAAAAACCCCAACACCCTTCTCCTCTCATCCCCAACCCGCAACTCAAGAGTGTGGATCAGTCCTTCAATTATGCTGCTTTCCTTGTTGGTGTTTTTTGGTTTGGGGGACCACAGATGGCAGTGCTTAGGGCTTATTCTCACTTCTGGCAGGGCTCAGGGGTCCTATGGGATGCCAGGGGTGCCTGGTCAGTTGTGTGCAAGGCAAATGTCCTACCCTCTGTAATTATCACTCTGTCCCAGCCATTATGCCGCCTGCCTTTGGTCATCTGTTGCTCCCTTGCTGTGTATATCTAAATCCTACATATGACAGAGATCGTTCCATATCTATCCCTTTCCTCCTGGTTAACTTCACTCAACATAACCCCCTAGTTCCATAAGAGAAGAGTAGTTTCTTTTAAAGTTAGATTTTCGGGGACCAGAGCAATAGTATAGATAGGGCATTTGCCTTGCAAGTGGGTGACCCGGGTTCAATCCCCGGCATTCCATATGGTCCCCTGAGCACTGCCAGGAGTAATTCCTGAGTGCAGATCCAAGAGTAACCCCTGAGCATTGCTGGGTGTGACCTAAAAAGGAAAATAAATAGTTAGGTTTTCGTGCAAGGTTGTCTTGGCTTAGGGTCTGGCTTTTCCCAAGACAAGCACAGAATTCGGATGGCTGTTCAATGCAGTGAAATAAACCAGCTATCAAACACATACCCCCAAGCATAAGAGAGAAACACACAAAAAATACAGCCTCGATGCCAACATGGGCAAGCACTTTCTATACCATCTTCACATTGAGTAACTCGTCTCCTTTCTTGGCAAAGAAGAGAAGGCACAGGGGCCAGAGCAATAGCACAGCAGGGAGGGCATTTGCCTTACACGTGGCCAACCCGCGTTCAATCCCTCAGCATCCCATATAGTCCCATATAGTCCCCCCAGTACCGCCAGGAATAATTCCTGAGTGCAGAGCCAGGAGTAACCGCTGAGCATCGCTGGGTGTGACTCAAAAAGAAAAAAAAAAGAAGAGCAGAATCCTGGGTGCCACGCCCTTTTCTGATGTATTTCCATCCACAAACTTCTGGACCCTGACCCCAACCTTAAGACGGGCATTGGGACCATTCTCATTTCCCCGAAGAAGAGACAGAGGGTCAGAGTGGCGAGCACACTGGGTGATGGGCAGAGCCCAGAGGCAAACCCCTCTGGCTTCAGAATCCTAAGCGACTGTTCACCCAAAGCATAAAACTTCAGTCCAAGCAACAAAAGTGGAGACTTATAAAGCACACGGTGCAAGAACTGAGCCATGTTCGACTGCAAAGTGGCATGTCCCTTACCTGTGGACAACCCCGGCCCGGTGCAGGTGCTCCACGGCCGAGATGAGCTGCCGGATGTACCTGCGGGCTTCCGCCTCCTCCAGCCTCTTCTTCTCATAGATCTTGTGCATGAGGTTGCCGCCCGGGCACAGCTCCATGACCAGGTAATAGCTGTTTTCTGTCTCCAGAATGTCCAGGAGCTGTGTGATGTTGGGGTGGCGGATCATCTGCTGGATCTGGCCCTCCCGGCGGAGGTTTTTGGTGACATAGGTGTCCTTTTTGGCTCTCTTCTTATCGATGACTTTTATGGCCACCTGCGGAGAAACCCAGAGAGGGTTTGAGATCTCATTTCCTGCTACGATGTGAACCAGAAGGGGCTCTGCTGAGGAAAGTCAGTCAGAAGGAGAAATGCCAAATACTGGGTGATGGTACCCTCAGGGGCTCGCTACAGAAACCAAGAGGCCGGGGCTCAGCGGCAGAGCACCCGGCCTGCCCACACGAGGCCTTAGGTTCCATCTCCAGCATGCAAACAATAAATAACAACTTAAAAAGCAAAGCATGGGGGAGAGAAGGAGGGAGAGAGAGCAGAGAGGTTAAAGCAGTCGCCTTGCATCCTGCAAACCCCCGTTTGAATTCCTGGCACCACAGAGGGTTCTCTCCCAAGCACCGCCAGAGCTTATTCCTGAGCACTGAGCCAAGAAGAGTCCCTGAGCACTGCTGGGTATGGCCCTACCCCTTCCTCCCACCTGAAGCCAGAGTCCTCAGAAAACCACGCCCCTCATCACACACACACACACACACACACACACACGTTCGCCATCTCTCCAAACACACATCCAATTATCTCCAAGCTGGCACCCATGTTATGGACCCCTCACACACACCATTCCAACCATCCCTCCCCCCAGTCCTTCCAATCCTAACTCAAGCCACTCCCTGCTGCGGAGTCCCTTGAACACTCTTCCCTTCCTCTTCTCCCAACCGCAAGGCCATGCAAGCGTCTCCTTCCCTAAAACAGATCGCTCCCTGCTACCCACTCCTTGGAAACTACTCAGAAAGTGTCTAGCAGAAGACTCACAAGCAATACCAGCAATTTTAACCTTTTAGGAAAAACAAACAAAACGAACAAACAAACAAAAAAACAACTGCCATCGGATTCACTTAGTCTCTCCTCTGGAGGACAGTCTCATTTTTATAATTATACAATGCCCCCTCGCCCCACCCCCAACACACACCACCACCACCACCATCGAAAATTTTATTTTCCACAATTTCAGCTACCTGAGGTCAAGCCAGTTCCAAAAACAATACATGCTATAAGATATTTTGAGAGCGAGACCCCATTCAGATAGCTTTTTCCACAGTGCATTGCAATCAGCGCTTGACATTATTATTATTATAGTTTGGGGTGTTAATCTCTTCCTATGACTAATTGCTGAGATAAACCTTATCATAGGTATATAGATGTGGGGAGAAATATTGCAGGTATGAGTTTGTAAGGTTCCTGGTTGGCCTCCAGGCATGGGCTCTGAGCTCAATCAGGGAGCCAGTTCTATTCCTTCCCTTTGCTTTCTGGTTCGGGGGCCAAACCAAGCTGTGCTCGGGGATCATTCCTGGCTCTGTGCTCAGGAACTGATGTAGGCAGGTAGATAGGGAAAGGCCCTTTGCAATGAAACAAAGTTTCATGGAAGAAGAATTCTAGGAATGACCTACCTTGTGGATACAGAAAGCAAAGGCCTGATAAGACCATCCACAGACCCTGAGGATATAGGCCTCCCCATGAAATTCCTCTTTTTGGACCTCCCTGGTAACCTCCTTGGCAACAGACTTTTACCTGGGAAGAAGCCCCACGTGGGGGCAGGCTGGAGAAACCCTATAAAGGCCACCTTGAACAAAGGAAGGATGCGCATATGCCGCCCTAGCCCATGTGCTGCTTGCGCCCACGTGGCTGAGCACATGTGGTGCCCGAGCACATGTGTCGCCCACATCTCCCCTCTTGAGATGTGTACTTTCATGCTTTCATGTCTAATGCTAGGATATGTAGGGGCTCTCTCCACCCTCGGAGAAGCCCGCGTTCTCTCTGGACACGTTACTCTCTCTCTTACTCTCCGTTCCCCCGCTTATCTGCTTATCCCTTTCTCTCCCTCTCCAAAAATCCTCCAAATAAAATCTATTTGTTTCATCACTTGTCTACTCCTGAAATTCCTTTCTGCTAGGCGAGACAATAATCCAGTAACCCTGGGTCCCGGGTGGCAGAGGCGGGTGGGGAGAAAGTGACCGTCTTTGTCCTCCCCGCTTCACATAAGTCACCCGTGGGGCCCACAGACATCAGAACCACATGTTCTCGGGGACCACATGCAGTGGCAGCCATTAGACCCAGGTCAGCTGCATGCAAGAAAAGCACTGACACGCTATACTGACTCCCAGCACCCCCTGCCATTCCTTTTTTTTTGTTTTTGTTTTTTGTTTTTGGGTCACACCCAGCGATGCACAGGGGCTACTCCTGGCTCATGCACTCAGGAATTACCCCTGGCGGTGCTCAGAGGACCATATGGGATGCTGGGAATTGAACCCGGGTCAGCCACGTGCAAGGCAAACGCCCTACCCGCTGTGCTATTGCTCCAGCCCCCATTCCTTTTAAACCATTACATGCAACACTGTATGACATCTGTTTAGATGGGCAATGCAATTCTATGCAATCACTACAAAATTGATTATGGCAATCAAAAAATAATAACTGCACAGTTATTGGGGAAGTGGGGAGGAGATGGTGCAAAAGGCTGAGCACATTCTTTGCACCCAAGAGGCCTGGGTTCAACCCCCAGAACCACAGGGCATCCCCTCCCAGCAACTCCAGGGCTAAACTCTGAGCACAGAGCCAGGAGGAGCCCTCAAGAACCACTGCGTTGGCCCCCAAATAAAACACATGCGTGTGGTGTGCTGAGAACCGTCTTTATCATTTTCAAACTGGCAGCCGCTAGCCACATCCCAAGGCTTATCTTTCTGCTGGGGGTGGGGCCTTTCCATCACGCCAGCCACTTGAGTGGGGATTTCAGACCCTTAATCCAGAGATAGGACTAAGAGGGGGACAATCGGCCACTGGAACCAAAGAACTGTGGGACAGTATCACCCACCCTGTAGAGCTCACTGCGGTGGGGGTGGGGGGGGGGGGTGGGGGGGGGGGCTGCACATCCCAAGGCCACCCAAGCAGATGCTGTCTACCTGCAGAAGCCTTTCTCTTCCTGCACTTCCCCCCAGCTAGTTAAGGAGGTGTCGTATTAAAAGACAGACAATTTCAGGGATGGAGTGATAGTACAGCTGGTAAGGCACTTGCCTTGCATGCAGCCAACCCAGGTTCAGCCCCCAGCACCCTCTATGATCTCCTGAGCACCACCAGGAGTGATCCCTGAGCGCTGAGTCTGGAGTAAGCCCTGAGTTTCACCGGGGCTGGCCCCAAAACAAAAAACTCAAAATTGCACTTGGAGGCTGGAGAGATAGTTAACAGGGGTTAAGGCCCTTACTTGCAAGGATGCAGCCGATCTCAGTGGAACCCCAGCACCATGTGGTGTCATTCCCCCTCCCCGCCCCCCCCCACCCCACCACTGCTGCCACCCCCCCCCCCCCAACCCAGCTCTTTGAGTTGTCACCATAGCACAGCATCTCACCTGACAACTCACTGGACCCAGAATCACTGGAAATGGTCCTGGGCCCTCTGAATACCACAAGGAGACCACCCCACACACAAGAAAAATAAATAAAAATTGTAGTAATTTGTGATTAGTAATTTGTGATATTTTGAAACACACACACACATACACACACTCAGCTTCAAAGGAGTACACGTAATAGAGACATACATAAGCAATCATCCTCTTGAGGAACTGAGAGAAAGGAGAGACCAAAGAGTAAAATTAGATTCTGTTTTTTTGCAGAGAGTCTGTGTTCCCGGGTTTGAAAAGGAAGCCCTTTGGCAACAGGATTCTTTAAAGCACAATGAATAAACAACAGTCTCCAAAGCCCAGCAGTTAGAAACGATCTGCCTTTTTAAGCAGAACACACAATCATTATTAGGATAATTTATTTAGCTCTTAATTGCCTGCAGAGTGCCATTCAAAGGCAGTAAAAGCAACTCCCTGGAAGTACAGACGTGACCTTATTTGGAAACAGTGAAGGGTTTTCCCGCTGGGATGGGCTCTCAGCACCTCACCAGGGTCCTTAGGAGACAGACACAAGACAGTGGGAGACACCACACAAAGACAGAGACCCCAGCTACGGAAGCAGGCAGCAAAAGCACCACCTCCCCTCCCCTAGTCCCCAGGAGAACAGACAGAGCCCCCTACCTCCACCCAGGTGGACCCACCTCCGCCCAAGTAGAAGGACAAAGGATGCAGCTTTGTGAGGGGTCTTCAAGGGGGCAGCCTTTGTAACACTCTGGATCTGGGTCCCCCCAAACGGACTGTAGATTTCCAGTCTGTGAGGCTTCAGCAGGGCAAATTTGCACTGTGATGCCATCCAGAGTGCGCTGGTTAGAGCAAGCCTGACTGCGAGTGTGTGCCCCACCATCTCTGTAGCCTGGGGTCCCAATTCCACTGGTCCCGAGCATCCCTCAGTGATAAAATCTGCGCCCTGCTCAGGAGACACTTTCCTGGGAAGCGGAACTCACTAAGGACCCAGGTTTCATGGATGGGTAGGGATTCCCAATCTGGTCTTGAGAATGTGTTTGGGGACCAGGAGTGGTGAAGGGGACCGAGGGGAGGGAGTATCATAGACTAGATATATCAATCAAAACTCATTCTGGTTTTGGGATTTGGGGGTCACACCGGCAATGCTCAAGGGTTACTCCTGGCTCTGAGCTCAGGAATCACTCCCGAGGGCTCAGGGGTGCCAGGGCTCAAACCTGGGTCAGCTGCGTGCAAAGAAAGTACCTTACTGGCTGTACTATCTCTCTAGCCTCCATCCAAAACACTTGAAAAATAATTTTCTCGCAAAGAATCGGTAAAGACTCCAGCTCTAGAACAGAAGCAAGCTGCTAACCAACAACCAACATTTTAACAAAGGAATCTTTTTCCAAGATGGGTCCCTTAGATCCAATATAAAAAACCAAGGTGTTGCCGGGGTGGAAAATTAGTAGAGAGAGAACAACCAAGCTCCGGAGCACAACAGCTGAAACATTACTTAAGTCATTGCATCTCTCAGGGGTGGAGTGCAAGCCTGGCATGGACAGAAGCCAGAATCAATTCCCTTGTGACCTCCAGTAGTGGTGAGGACCCTCCTCAAAAAAAAAAAAAAAAAAAAAACCAGAAATTGCATTTCT